CAGAGGTTGTTTTAAACCTTGGCCTTTCTGCCTTTATGACATTTTGCTAAATTTTTGTGATTATTTTTATATTTTTGATGTGCACCAAAATGTTAATATTTTTATTAATTCATCAGAGAATTGGCATAACTCTTTATTATATTTGACAATTTTCATGTAACTTGTAGACTTTTGAGCCATTTACTGCCTTTAGATGTTACTCATTCTTATTTGTAGTATTTCTGTCATTGAAAGCTCCACAAAAAGCTTAGAAGAATTAAAAAAAATTTCCTTTTCCCACTGACACACAATAATTGTATGTATTTATGGGGAACAGTGTGATTTTACAATCCATGTACACAATGTGTAATGATCAAATAATAGTAACTAGAATTTTCATTTCCTCATTGTTTATGTTCAGATTCTTTGAATTCCTCTCTTTCAGTTGCTCATAAAGTATGTAATAGTTTGTTATAAACTTCAGTCACCCTACTGTACTGCAAAATATTAGAACCTGATCGTCCTTGTACTGTCTTTAGTATTCATTACCCAGCCTCCCTGTAGCATCTTCTTGTTAGTGTTGAGTAATCACTATGCTATACATCTCAGTTTGAGATCAACTTTACTTTAGAAAATCTATTCCATATGAGAGAGAGCATATAGTATTTGCCTTTTTGTACCTGGCTTATTTTGGTTAATATAGTGCTCTAAGTTCCATTTATGTTGCTTCCAATGACAGGATTTCATTCTTCACTATAGCTGACTAATATTTCATCAGGCATCTAGATCATCTCATTTGGTTCTATATATTGGCTATTATCAATGTGCTGAAATCTGGGAGACCTTTTTGATGTGCTTATTTGGTTCTTTTGGTTCTATATTCAGAAGTAGGATAGCACTATCATAAGGCAGATATCATTTTATTTCTAATAGTAAACTCTGTACTGTTGACTGTAATGATTATATTAATTTGCATTCCCATCAACAGTGTGTAAGGGTTATCTTTTCTCTGTACCTTCTTTTTGTTGTTTTCAGTTTTGAAAAAGTATTAGTCATTTTATTGCAGTGAGATAGTATCTTATTGTGATTTTGATTTATATTTCCTTAAAAGCTAAAGATGTCAAGTATTTTTCATTGTGCTTGTTGGCCATTTGTATTTCTTTCTTTTGAGAAATTTACTAGCCAAATAATTTGCCTATTTTTAAGTTGAAAAGTATTTTAAAAAGTTGTTTTGAATTCTGTGCATATTCTAAGTGTTAATTCCTTGTGAGATGAATAGTTTCTAAAAATTTTTCCTACCCTGGGATTGCCTCTTTACTCCATTAGTAGTTTCTTTTGCATTGTAGAAGATTTATAGTTTCATATAATCCCACTTGTCTTTTTTTGTTCTTACTACCTGTCCTTTTAGGGTCTTATCCAGAAAATCATTACTTCTACTGGTATCTTGAAGTGTTTCCTTTATTTTCTTAATTCAAGCATCTTCATTCAAACTGTCCAAAATGATTCTGTAGGAAAAAAAGAAAAAGATAGAATACATTATTTATAAATCTAAATGTTTAAAAATGGCAACATTTTACTTTATTTGTTATATTTATTTTAGTGATTTTTGACTTTGGGGCTATAAATTTCTTTCCTAAGTAGTACTTGATGTATTTCTCTTTATATTTTCTTCTAACAGTTTTATAGTTTCAGTTTCAGGGCTTCTGTTTAGAATTTTGAGTAGGTTTTTCTACAGGGTGAGAGCTGGGTTAAGTTTCAGTCTTCTGTACATGAATTTTTTGTTTTCCAGCACTGTTTATTGCCGCATTTGTTCTATCGCCAATGTATGTATTTGTTCCTCGGTGGAAAGTCAACTGACTATGAATGCGTCACTTACTTTGGGTGTTTCTGTTCTGTTCTACTGGCCTGTGTGCCAGGTTTCATTCTGGTACCATGCTGTGTTGCTTACTGTAGCTCTGAAATATGTTTTGAGATCAGATGTTGTGATGACTTGTCTTAATCTTTTTTTTTTTTTTTTTCTCGATATTACTTTGGCTATTTGGGGTCTTCTTTGCTTTCATATAAATTTTAGGATTGTTTTTTCCACTTCTGTGAAGAATGCCATTGATACTTTGATGGAGACGCACTGAATTTAATAGTAGTGTGGCATTATAGCAGTATTCTTTCCGTCCATGAACATGGGATATTTTCATATTTTGGTGTCTTTGAGTTCTTTCATCAATGTTTACTTATTTAAAGTTATTTCTAGGGTTTTTCTTGTAACTATTGTTCATAGTACTGCTTTCTTGATTGTTTTCTCAAGAAGTTCATTCCTTTTGTATAAAAATGCTACAAATTTTTTAATGTTGAGTTTCTATCCTGCCACTTTACTGAATTAATTTATCATTTGGGTAAGTTTTTTTCTGGTGTCATCAGGTTTTCCATTCATAAAATCATATGGTGTGCAAAGAGGGATAATTTCACTTTTCCCCTTCCTGTTTGTATGCCTTTTCTTTCTTTGCTTCACATTATTGCTCTGGGTTTGACTTTCTATGTTGAACAAAAGTGGTAGAAATGAACCTATTTTAGCTTTGAGGAATTTTTAGTGTTTCTCTGTCAGTATGATGGTGGCTTCTTCGTGCTGCATGGATGCTTAGGTCCTGTGTTCCTTGATGTCTCTCTAGAATAGGGCCTCACACTGTTTTTGCTGATTTTTTTTTGTTGTTGTTTTTGTAGAGGAAAATTTTTAGACTGAAAGGAATATGCCCATCCTCCAAAACCTGAGGAAGATTGGGTCTAGGAGCCTGAGAGTGCCAAAATCTAGGAATGCCCAAGTCTCTCATATAAAATGACATAATGTTTGCATATAATCTATACATATCCTCTGATATGCTTATAACCATCTCTAGATACTTAAAATATCAACAATGTGAATTTTATGTAAATAGTTGGTATGCTGTATTGCTCAGGGGATAATTTCAAGGCGAAAAGTCTGTGTGTGCTTAGTGTAGATGCAGTACTTCTGTGTTTTTAGGATATTTTCATTCGAGATTGTATGACTCCACAAATGCAGATAAAGAGGACAAGTTGTGGGCTGGGGAGTTAGCTTGGTGGTCTAAGCACCTGCTTGGCCAGTGCAAGGACCCAGATTGGATCCCCAGTGTTGCATGCCGTGCTGGCCCTGCCCCCAGGTGCGCTGAGCCAGCGAATGAGTCTCGGAGTGGTGGTGCGTGCCTGTAATGCCAGCGCTGGGGAGGCTGAGACAGGAGGATCACTGTGAGTCCAACCTGCATAACGAGACCCTGTGCCAAATAAATACTTAAGTAAAATATTTTTTTTAAAGAGACAGCTAGCTGTGTTTAGTATAAAGCTGTTGTAATTTGCTACTTATATGGTGCCATACTGTAGTTTGTGGAAGAGATATTATTGGAACTGCCTTGATCATTTCTGGTCCTACTGTCTTGAAAGATGCCTTGCTTGAATAATACTCCTTTCTCTTTTCTAATTGATAAGCAAAAATAGTATAAGCACATGATCTTATGCAGTATGTTTCTATATTTATATGTTGTACAATAATGATGTCTTTTAACGTGTATTATGACACATACATTTTTGTGGTAAGAACATTTGAAATCCAATCTTGGCAGTTTTATATCACTGAATTACACTTTTCTTTTTCTTATGATTCTTCTGGAAGAACAGAAAGGGAAGTAGAAAAGAAAATAAGTGATCAATTGCAAGTTCATGGAGTGTGCTAGTCATTTTATACACATAATTTCATTAATTTATTCAGTTTCATATATCCATCAATCCAAAGGCACTAAAAAACACATAAACATTTAAAGAAGGCAAATCCATCAGACAATTACAGGGAAAGAAAATTAAAGACAGAAAAACAAGGGGAGCCAGTGGGGTTTGCAGCCCCGTATTCCTGCCCTGGGAACTTTGTGTACTCATAGGAGTGGTTCAGGTGGGGCTTGGGGCCCAGGCCCTCGGCCTTCTCCTGCAAGGGAGGAAACGTGACCAGTTACATAAAATCAATTAATGGGGAGCAGCCCCACTAGTTCTGGAACCTGAAAGAAAATTCTTCCATGAGTCTTTATAAGGAAGATTGTGAAACATTTTATTCTGGTGGCAGTGAAAAGGGCTGATATCCTCTTAAGAAAAACAGGCATCTGATGAGACCCACTGCAGCCTGGATGGGGAGCTGAGGTTGTATTATCACGGAGCAAGAGTGTCATCTTCAACCTCTGAACACTGTGTCTCAAGCGACACTCTTGAAAGGAGCTTCCTACCATTAGCTATTCCTTTCCAATTGCAATGACTATATACGCTTGTTTCCTGTTTCTTCTTTTTGTAGATCATAACCTATGCAAGGACAGGGGTTACAGATACCTTAGGTATTCTTGCATCTCCACACAGCTAGAAGTCTGGTATATATTAGGCACTCAGTAAATATCTTTTGAAAGAGGGAAGAATGGAAAGAAGTGGTGGTAAAGTGCACCCTGAGGGAACCTAATTAGTTACCCTGCAGAAAGGAATTTTTATAAGCCTGACTACACTAGTTAGCGAGCAATAAGGATATTGGGAAGTTTCCAAGATGGTTGCTCTTGGAATAGCTGCTAGAAGACATGGTTGTTAGTAATCAAGTAGCATCGTTTGGCCAGATGTCTGCTGAGTTTACCCCACATGGAAATCATTCAGATCAGGCTTTGTAATTCATATTTCACAATGAGAGAACAAATCTCAGAGAAGTTAAAGGAAGGGTTTATTTTCTAGTTAACAAGAATGTCAAAAATCTTAATCATGACATTTTCATGAGTGTATCGTGTTATTTGAGTATGGCAGGCAGCAGCAGCCTGACACACATTAGGGAAACGCTACCCTCTTCTGCAGTAACTCAGGTGTTTGTGGAAAGTGGCTGCATGGCTAATTCTTGTTCACTCCATGTTCACACATGGATTGCTACCATTCTGATAGAGAGAATGCATGACTTCTCTCCTGTAGTGGATGACTAAGGGCCCTGCCTTCCCATCTTGCAGAGACACAGAGTACAAGGGGCTGCAGCTCTCTCTGGATCAGATCTCAGCCTCCAAACCAGCCTTCTCCTATGCCAGCAGCTCCACCCCCACCCTGACCGACAGCAGGAAGGCGACCAAGTCGAGGCTCTCCAGCTCGAAGTCAAAATCCAGGACCTCGCCTTATCCTCAGGTAAGTGTGTGGGTGCTTTGCGACTTCCTTTGCTTGTGACTGGGGTTGCTCTTGAAGTTGAGGAAGTATTAGAACTGTTGGGAATTCATCTGCTTTCAATAGATTGAAAATGCCTATGAATGTGAAAGATTTTTCTAAAACTTATGTTTTTCCTTTTAAGTGGCTGTGCTAGTAAAAAATTGAAATAATTTTGTGGTTGGTTGCACTTAGAGGCAGGTCATCAGAGTCTATCTGCCAGAACCAGAATTTGTTGTTTCAAGGACATTGATCCTAAAATTTTCTTCTTCATGATTAATCAGAAAAAGAGTCAGTATAAAGAATATGAACTCTTGTTTTAAAAAAATTAATTTTAGGGGCCGGGGAGATGGCTCAGTAGAATAAGTGCTTCCCTGGCAAGCGCAAGGGTCTGAGTTCAAGCCCCGGTTCCGCAAAAAAAAAAAAAAAAAAAATAGTTGAGAAACAAATAGCAATGAAACAGTTTCAAAACCAATTAGTAGGACAGTTTCAAAATTAATACATTGCATATTGTTGTCTTCGTAGTGGTTATTCATTGTACAAGATGCAGAAATGATATCCTGTCCAATATTAGTACAAATCTTTCTATTCATTGAATTAAGAGAAAGTAGCTGTATTTCTATCCTAACTATTTTGTATTCACAGATACAAAATGGTCCTTCATTTGTGTCCCCTTTTTTTGTTTAGTTTTATCAGGGATGGGTATTCCGTTGCTAATAGAATATGAACTCAAGATAGGCACTAAAAAGAGAGAGAATGGCTGCTTCATCTTCAAGTCCCTTACCCCTTTTGTTGAGACAGGGTCTCTCTCTTTATGTAATCCAGGTTGACCTTATACTCACTATGTAGCCCATCTGGCCTCAGATGTGCAGGAATTTGCCTCAGTCCTCCTGCCTCAGTCTTCTGGGTGCTGGGATTACAGGGTGTGTTACCACTCCTTGCCCTTTCCTTTTCTTTGCCATTGCTATATCAAACTATCTGCAGCTCATTGGAGTAACTAAGGCCACTCCTATGCTACTCTTGCACCAAAATGTCTTCTGAATCATTTATTTTTCAAAGCTGTCTTTATGATTTATGCTTGAATTTTAAGTAAAAAGACAGTCTGATAAGTATAGAAATGATTATTTCCTTACCTGTCAGATCTATGTTATTATGTCAATATCTGAAAATACACAGTTTGAGGAAATGCCACTTGCTGACTCATTGATCAGTGAAAGGCTAGTGTTTGCTAGATCATTTCAGTGTCTGGGTATCCAGTGGGGTGAAGCCTATGATCTCTGCCTTCACAAGTCTTAGATCACATGGCTGGAAGTCTTCCACAGAGGACCTGCTTGATAACACGGAAGAGATTGGTAGTGTGACGTCTAGGTGTATTGCAGGGTGCAACTTCTCTTAGAGTGCTGAGCACTTCCGTGAGGAAGTCGAGTCCGTGTGACAGGCAGCTGCTTCCTTCTAGAGAACATCTAATGAGGTGCTTTTCTCATTATTGTACCTTGGAGAGAGTTTTACTGTCTCTTTTTACTATTTGGAAGGAAGGATTGTGCCTTGGGGTGGTTCTGTTCTTAAGTGCATAGCAGGGTTGGACACATAGATGAAAGAAGAATTTAAATTAGTAAATACTGTTAAGAAAGAGTTTGTCCTTTGTTTTACAGAAATTAAACTATAAAAACAAAATCTCCTTGCAGGACCTCCAAAACCTCATTGTTTAGCCTATGTTTTCTTTCATCCTCTGCTCTTAATATATAAAATTTGTATTAGTTCAGTCTAACAGTAAGTAAATCATCTAAAAAGTTTTAACTTTAATTAGTCTACTCTAATGTGTGTGGAGTTACTTTGAATGTTACATATGTTTTGTAGTACACAAATAGAGCAGAAAAGTGGAAAGTAGAGGAAAAAATCCCTCTTTATTTCTCTTGCTTTCCCTGTACTCCCTTCTACAGCATTGCATCATGTATAAAAATCACCTACACTCACAAATGTTGATACAGGATTTCTCTTGAAGTCTGTGTATTTATTTTTTGTTCTTAATACTGGTATGAAAGCAGTCCTTAGACTTTTGACCATGTGCCTTATTTGAAATAGCACAGTTACAGGTGGTGGTTATTTAGCATTTATTTCTGTAGGAAAGGTTCTTCTTTAATTGTGTTTACTTTCGATAATCACGGTATTAAGTCAACCATTGACTGAGTTCTGGCTATGTGGTCTGCACATAGATAGAAATGCAGCACTCTTTCTTTTCCTCTGCAGAGCTATCAGTATAGACAGATGGGTGAGCAGGAATTTGCAACTTAATGTGTTGGTGGGAGGTGAGACTGGGGCTTGGTTGGAAAAGAATGCCACCCAGAACAAATTCATAACTATCACTGCTAGAATTAAACAACTTAGAAATGCATCCAGCTTGTATTCTGAATCCTCAGAAGTGTTAAAGAAAATAATTAGTTTCTCAAAATATTTTTGATCCCAATTGTCCTCATGTTAGGAGTGAGTAAGGAATTTCTAATTTTCATGCATCATTGTTTTTCTGTCTAGGATGCAGTAGATTCTAGTTAAGGATCTGCTTCAGAAATGATGCTAGTGATGTTGTCAGGGAAGAGTGGTATGAAAGGTGCTAGGATACTAGTGCATGGCATATAGCATGTTCAAGTTTTGTAGTACAGTCGGAGTGGGAAATTACATGGTAGAAAACACAGGGATGATCTATACTAAGGGCTTTGTGAATGATGTCAGCACCATGGACTATAGCCTGTCTAAAAGAAGTATGAACCTGGCTTGGAAGTTAGGACTCAGGCATATGGGAAAAAGGAAAAGGAATGGAGCCTTCAGGAAGATTAAAATTATGAGCAAATGCAGGAAGTCAGGCTGATTAGGCATGGGGTGAGTGGGGGATAGGCGTTTGTCTGAATGAGGAAGATGAGTGATTCATTTGGAAATAAATGTGAGCCAAATACATGCCAGGGGCAGGCCAAGGAGCTTAGAGTTTGTCTTGTAGAGAACTAGTAAAGACTCGAGTACTAAAATAATTGAGGGCTGGGCAGATAGCTCAGTGGAATAAGTGCTTGCCTGGCAAGCGCAAGGTCCTGAGTTTGATCCCTGGTACCACATAAATGAATGAATGAATGAATGAATAAATAAAATAATTGAAAGAACAAAAACTAGGGAACTCATTTTAGTAGTTCTGGTGCAAGGGTATAAAGAACTAAACTAAAGTTCTCTACTGAGGTAAAAGATACTGTAGTGGAAGAACAGATAAGATTCTTTGTGATCTTGGTTTCTGGTATCTCTTGTAATACATATATTTTGGTCATTATAGATTTACTTCAAAATTATACTGTTAAAGCTTACTTCAGTAAGCAAACTTTGAATTCCCCCATTTGTAGATGCTTAGCATTCTCCTTTTTAGTGAGAGAATGATGGTAGTTTTTATTGTATTTTATTTATTTATATTTATTTATTGTATTTAGGACAAGGTGTACAGTGTTTACAGGATTTCACTGCGTAGATCACACTTATAGTGATTCTTCTGTTTACAGCCTCCCAAGTGCTGGGATTATAGGCGCCCCACCACTCCGGGTCTCAGTTGCAGTCTCAGCCCTCCTAGGGGGTGGGCCCGGCATGGCAGCCCGGGGATTGAACTCCTGACCCCTGTGTCTAAGCACACACTTTAATCCACTGAGCTAGTTGGCCAGCTCTGTATTTTGTTTTAAACTTCCGACCGTTTTTCCCAAGAAGTCTTTTCTTTTTTATCATTTCCATGTTTTAATATATAAATTCTAACCATATTCTTCAAAAGGAAGTTTCTAGTACAAAATTAATCTCATAGAGTAATATCTGAGCGCTCTTGTTAGTTAAGTAAATGGTGATTTAATAATTCTATCAATATTGTTTATTGGCCTCTTCATCCTATTATATTTTCAGTATATATAGGAATTGCTAATGTCTGAATAACGGCAAATAGCAGTGCTGTATTTTGAAATTGTTTGGGCATCCTTATGTAAACATTCAAGATGAGTACAAATTAGGGTTCACTATCATCCCCCAGTTTGTATGCAGTAGTAAGTGACCCTTCAGGTCTCTTGATTATGTTATGACCACTCAGTGAATAACTAAATCACCTTTCTACTTACTTATATGTACTACTTAGGATAGCAGAAGTCAAAACTGTGTTGAATTGTTTTGGAAGAATTTTTTTTTTCTTTTTAATATTAGTACAGGGCCTGTAGAGTCTCACTATGTAGACTGGACTCATGGCGATCCACCTGTGTTCAGCCTCCCAAGAGCTGGGATTAGAGGCACGTGCTACTGCGCCCAGTCTCAGTTGCCATCTCAGCATGCCCTGGGGGCGAGGCTGGCACAGCACTCCAGGGATCGAACCCCTGCTACTGCATCTGCCGAAGCAAGCACTTTAGTCTGCTGAGCTATTTGGCTGGCCTGTTTTGGAAGAATTGTTAAAAGAAATATTATAATTAATGTCAAAAGATTTTGCACATAGCTGCTGGGCTGTGGTACAGCACAAATCTTCCCTCGATGGCAGCTGTATTTTATTGTTACTGGGTTTTTCCTCATGAAAATAGCAACTTATCTTTTCATCTGTTCATTGAGCTACAGTTATTGTATTTACAGAATCTATTTTTCCAATCTTGTCTGTTTGGAAGTGCTATTATTATTTTCAATCTATTTTTTATGCAACTAGTCATGGAACTCTAGTAACATTTGGAAGATTTTTTTTTCAAAATTTTATTGATAAACAGCAATGAGACAGTTTCAAATCAAATCGGAAGTACAGTTTCAACAAATAACACACTGCATATATTCTTCTTAGTGGTTAATTGCTGTACAAGATGCGGACTTGAGATCCTATTTACAAACACCATTAGAACAAATCATTCTATTCATTAAGAGAATGCAACTATATATCTATCCCAACCTCTTTGAATACACAGATACAAAATGGACATTCATCTGTATGCCCCATTTTTTCTAAGTTC